CATAAATATTTGCTGGTTGAATAAATGAAGAGAAATAAATCATATATCAATATATGCTAAAAGATAATTTGCTAATTTAACAGACATTGCTCATTTAAAAAAAATGTGGCCAGGCACGGCAGCTCATACCTGTAATCTCAGCACTTTGGGAGGCCGAGGTGGGTGGATCACTTGAGGTCAGAAGTTTGAGACTCTGTCTCAAAAAAAACAAAACAAAACAAAACAAAGTTTAAAACTACCTTAAGAGGCAGTAGATTATACAGCACAATCACTGGTGTCAGTGAAGAATTGGTTTCTATCCCAACTCCCACTTCCCAGCTATGTATCTTTGGACAAGTCACTTAACCTCTCTGAGCCTCAGTGTCCTCATCCGTAAAATGGGAGAAATAATGGTATTGAGAATTATGAGAAATAAATTATGGAAATATAGTGCTTAACAGAAAATCCAGAACACAGTATGCCTTCAGCAAATATTACATAATAGTATTTGAATGGTAACAGAACACAAGAAATCTTCCTCCACTGGAGAAGAAAACTAACTAGAAATCTGTCACAAACATCACACCTAACAGTTTGGGCAAGAACCACTCCTGGTCTAGTCTAGAGTAAAACAAGAAGGGCTGCGGCAACTTCACTGCTCCAGGGAAGGGGGAGGCCTAGCCAATGTGGTAAAATTGTTCAAAATAAGAGTTGTAGATTTTGGGCTGGGTGCGGTGGCTCACACCTATAATCCCAGCACTTTGGGAGGCCAAAATGGGATCACTTGAGGTCAGGAGTTCGACACCAGCCTGGTCAACATGGTGAAACCCCATCTCTACTAAAAATATAAAAATTAGCTAGGCATGGTGGTGCATGCCTGTAATCGCAGCTACTGGGGAGGCTAAGGCAGGAGAACTGCTTGAACATGGGAGTGGAGGCTACAGTGAGATCGTGCCACTGCACTCTAGCCTGGGTGACAGAGCGAGACTCCACCTCAAAAAAAAAAATACATATATATATATATGTGTGTGTGTGTGTGTGTGTGTGTGTGTGTGTATAGTTTTCAGAAATGAAGAGATAAAAATTATTCTTGCTGAAGAATTTTTTTTTTTTTTGAGATGGTGTCTCTCTCTGTCACCTGGCTGGAGTGCAGTGGTATATTCTCGCCTCACTGCGACCTCCTCCTCTCGGGTTCAAGCGATTCTCCAACCTCAGTGTCCCCAGTAGCTGGGATTACAGGCACACGCCACCACACCCAGCTAACTTTTGTATTTTTAGTAGTGATGGGGTTCCACCATGTTGGCCAGGCTGGTCTCAAACTCCTGACCTCAAGTGATAGGCCTGCCTCGGCCTCCCAAAGTGCTGGGATTATGCGTGTGAGCCACCGTGCACAACCTTGCTGAAGTAATTTGAAAATCTGAAGAAAATTAACTGGAAAATGATGAGAACCAATGTGAGTATTTAATACGTTGATGAGACATGAGATAAAATAAACAAAAGTCAATCATCTGTTATACCAACAATACTCATCATACAACAAAAACTATTTTTAAAAATACCTAGATGCAAATAAGAAACTGGCAAGATCGAGGTGAGAAAAAATATAAAGTTTTACCGAAGGATCTAAAGGACCTCAGATTACCCACATGGACCCATGCACATGAGGCAATGTCAATTCAAATCCTATCTTTTTCTTTTCCTAAGACAGGGTTTCACTCTGTTGCCCAGGCTGGAGTGCAATGGTGCAATCTCTGCTTACTGCAGCCTCAACCTCCCAGACTCAAGCAATCCTCTCACCTCAGCCTACCGAGTAGCTGGGACTACAGGTGTGAACCACTATGCCTGGCTAATTTTTTAATTTTCATTTTGTAGAGCTAGGGTCTCACTACTTTGCTCAGGCTGGTCTCAAACTCCTGGGCTCAAGTGATCCTCCTACCTCAGCCTCCCAAAGTGCTGGGATGACAAGCATGAGCCACTGTGCCTAGCCCAAAATCCCATCTTTTTTATCCCTCTTGGTTTTGACATTTAGAAGAATAAAAGAATGGGAAGAGCCAACAAGATTTGGGGCAGCATAAGGAGACTGGCCTGGCCTTGGCCTGTTCCTAATGTTCCAGGTTAGTTCAGCTGGCCTGGGTGCCACCAAACTCAAATTGATTGCACTCCTTACTTTTTCAACACCATGACGTGAATGCCTGAAAAATGGTATTTTACTTATTTTTACTTTACTATTTTACTTATTTTTCTTTACTATTTACTTATT